TACTTAAATGATGTAAAAATGATATTAAAAAATTCGGGGCAAATTTGCCCCTATTTTGCATACGGATTAAGGGATAATGTATTTAAATGACGTTAGCTAACGCTAATTCAAATTTGGACACAATGGGTGGGTAATTATCATAACGATATCATACGATATGCATATTATCAATTCAATCTGGATACGCATACGAATTCGTTTTCGTTCTTTTTTCTATTCGCATCATTATCACATAAATCTATCTTTAATAATTCTGTGCTTGGGAATTTTTTCATTATAGAGTCTAGGAAAAAACCGGTAAATGATTGATGAAAAGGTGCTTCCAGGGGGAAAGGAGACTCCAGGCATTCAAGTACATACCGGGAACGGAGTGCAACAAGGAGTATGGTTTAATAGCAAAGGTACAATTCTCTGACTTTTTTCTATTTTATGTATAAGTTTAAAACTACTTGTAATAGTCAAGATATACTTTATTTTTACTTGTTTTATTCAAGTCTATATGTATATGCCGATAACGTCTGTTTTGAATTATCAATTTACACATTCGCATAAATTTTTTGTTAAACTACTGACTTTGTTTTCACTTGAATCCCACGAATAAACGAGACCTGCGGTTAGCTATACATATCATATTATCGTTATTGGATTTGAATTAGTTACCACAGAATATTGAATATGTCCTATAAAAAATTATCGTCCCTGGATTTGTGAAGTTTATCAATAATGGTTTAGATTTGTTGATATGGTCCTATAATATGATTGTAATATTTACTACAGTACTAGGAAAACAGGCACTGTTAATTCTGGAATAAAACCAGTTTTTTAAAGGGACAAATACAGTAAATCTTTGGCGGCACTCATCATTCTTATCATGATGAACGCGTAATGGGGTTTTATTTTATAAACCGGTTTGCAATATATCTGCGCTTATATTATGCTCAAATTTAGCGATATCAATAATCTGCAGGAAAGCTTGATAACCTTGATTAACTAACTTTGATTTAAATATCAATATTGACTGACAAATATCTATGACATCCGAATTAGAAGTTTATCAGTACAGATATCACGTGAAAATTTCCATTGTGCCTAAATTTAGTTAAAACATCAAGCAAAGGAATAAAATGTTGACATCCTACGTTTTCGTTGTTTTTAAACTCAAAGATGGGTTTTGAAAATTGGTACAAAAATACGGTTAATTCGTTTAATTCGGTCAGAAGCGTATTTAATTCGTCCCAAAAAAAAGCACAATCGAATATTAATAATGAAAATGTTACAACCTTTGAAAATAAAAATAATTATCACAAAGAACCTAAAGAACATAACAAACTAAATCAAAGCGAAGAAAGTAGTGGCAATGAAAATAATTATGGCAAGGGACCTAAAGAACATGTCGAACTAAATCAAAGTGAAGTCAGCGACAATGAAAGTGAAGATTTTCATAGTGCCAATGATGATAATATCATTGAAATTACCTTTCATGTTCATATGCCACAATTTTTTGATAAATCCATGCAACCTTTGGTAATTGGCAGTGTAGAAGAATTAGGGCGTTGGAAAATACCAAAAGCGAAATTGCACCAAATTGAAAACAATTCTACATATTGGGTCTCTGATCCAATTAAAATCTTTCATAGAGATTTAGATCATATTAAGTATAAATATGCGTTTTATCGTCCAAAAGAACCTCAACACCAAGAATTTCTTTCTTCAATTTCTTCAATTTATGACGCTCTCTTCGGTGATTCAACAATCGTAATGGAAGGTAATTCCATATGGGCGGATCGGACTCATTTGGTGTGATATAAGAATGTGATATCTGCATGGTTACACTAATCCGATGATCATA